GTCCTGTGTCCTCCTCAGCTCCATACTCCTCCCTCCGTCAGCCCCTCCATCCCTTCTTCACCCCAGCACAGCTGGAGAGGGTCGGCTCTCTGGGAGCCGAGCCTGTCAGCCAGAACAGTATCCAGAGCTCTCTCCATCTTTGAGAGCGATTCCCAGGTGCAAAGGACCCGCTGTCCTGGGGACATGTCCCAGAGCAGCCTGCCAAGCTAGACCTCGCTGCTCCCCAGCACACGAGGCCTCATCCTGGGCCATCCTGGGGCTGAGTGTAACCTCCCCAAAACCTGGCTGAGCCCAGGGGACACAGCTTGACTGAGCCTGCCCTGCAGGACCCTTCTTGCTCTTCCCCCAAAGTTGATGCTTTTCTGGTGCTTGCTGGGTTTCCCAGAACAGCCCTTTATGGTGGCTCCTCACTGTTCCCTCTTCCCCACCTGGAACCAGCCTCTTGAGGTTTGGACATCATCTCTGGGGTGCCCAGGTGGACCCTGGGGGTGTCCGAGGACCGAGGTCTGGTTTGGGATGCAGTGTTGGGGAGGTGTGGGACTCTCCTTTGCACTCTGTGTGCCCCTGCCTGAGTAAAGCAAAGCTGCTTAACTGGCGCTTCTCTTTCTTTCTGTCTCACACCTCCCTTCTTCCTCCTCTTCCTGCTCCTGTGGCTCCCCTGCCCCTCCGTCTCTCAGAGCCAGAAGGGGAGGCAGGTGGTGGCTCTGAAGAAGGTAAGAAAGGCTTTTCTTTCTCTGTCTCTCCTTTCCCTGCTCATCTCCACTGTCAAGACCATCACGTAGAGCAGGTTTCGGCTGTCTGCACCAGCAGCCTTCCCTTGCACTGCTCTCCAGGGATGTAGGAACCTGAGTCTGGCTGGTATTGCTCCTTTCTGAGGAAGGGGACGCTGTGCCTTGTGCTGTGGTTGACTCCCTCAGTGTCCAAGTTGGAGCTGGAGGTGGCAGTCATCCATGGGGGCTGAGATCTCTTTGTCAGTGTGTGACATCCTCGCCAGTGGCACGCTGGGGATGCTGGCACATTGTGGATGGTTTTGGACGAGTCTGGCAGGGGCCTGGGGCCTGGGAGCAGCAGCCCCAGTTCTGGGCTCTCTTCCTCCCCTTCTGCCTTTGCCGCTGCTGTTTGGAGCAAAAATAAACCAAAGTGCAGCACAAAAGGTCAGTAGGCGCAGAGGCCACCAGTGTGCTGCCGGCTCAGCCGGTTGGGCAGCGGCATGGTGCCGGCAGCTGGTGTCCATCCTCCACCGGCTGGGAGGCTGCCCAAATTACCCCCACCTCTCCCGTCCCTGGGCTGCGCCTCTCCTGGGATGCGGAGGATGGGGCTGAGCTGGGACTGCAGCTCGGGAGGAGGAGGCACTGTGGGCTCCCAGGGTAATGGAGGCTTCAGGAGAAGCTGTGATTCCCTGGAGTGCTGCCTTCTACCTAATGGTTGTTGAGTGGCTTTGCTTTTGTCTTTAATGAAACTTTGGGCCCTCGGCGCTGGAATAGGGAACTAAGAGTTCAGGATGGGTTTTGGGGAGAAAATGTCTCTTCTCGGTGAGTTTGCAATGCTTCCGGTGGTCCCAGGAGCTGTCAGCACTTCTCCCCTGGAATTCCTCAGAGTACACATAACCCAAACCTGAATGTTTTGTAATACTGGAGAAAGGTTTACTCTAAGAAAATGTTCTGTTTCCAGGGCTGATTTTTCAGTGATGCTGTCTTGGGTGCATTAAAGGATGTCTGGTGACCCCACACTGGCTGGGTTGAGCGGCCACCGCCAGCCTCCTGCCCTGCTTTTGTCGTTCGTCCTCTTGTATAACCTGGTGATTTCTAGGGGAGTTGAATCTGCAGTCCTGTGCAGGGACAGGAGTTTTGGCTGAACAAAGCTTTGTCTTAACACCCTCTGCATCCAGCCACATGCTCCATGAGGATCCCTGCCCCACTGGGTGCTGCTCTGCTGATCCTGGGGCCGGGGGATGCTCTGGCTGTGCAGGAGCTCAGGGCCAGGTTGCCACCTCCAAGGAGGCTTTAAAACAGCACTGCGGATTTCTGGTCAGAGCAGAGCCCTGCTCAGATTCGGGATTCTCGAACAACTGCCCACCTCCCTGGTGACTCACAGCCGCTCTGTTCTCCCACCATCTCCCCATCTCTAGAGCCTCTTGCAGGAAAACACCTGGAGATCAACCTAAAAAAATTCTGCCCGAAACTTCCTAGGTTTTTTCTTCTTCTTTTTTTCTTTCTTCTTTTTTCACTGTGTTGAACCAAGCAACTTGAAGCCGTGCCCATGGTCACACACCTCACTGTGCCATGTGTGTGCTGTCCCTGCTCCTGGAGGCCCCAGCTCCTGCCTTGCTTTGGCCCCCACCTTTGCAGGAGGGGCTGGCATTTTCGCAGCCCTTTGGTCTTTAACTCTTGTAGGCTGACTCATATGTACTGTCTGACTAATTTTAGTCTGGGATTGGGAGCTGGGGGGGAAAAGTGAGTAGCTGTGAAATTAATTTAATTACCTAAGCGGCGATGAGTTTCTCGCAGCTGCCCTGGGCGTCCTCCTGGGTAGTGCCTCGTCCCCGTCACTCAGAGCCACGTGTCCTGTCTCAGATGCTGGAACCCAGCCCATGTTGAGGTCCTCGGTCTGGTTTTGGCTTAGATCTTTCCTGGGGTGGCTAAGCAGGGCTGGACAGCCCAGGGGATGGACTCCTCCTTCCCTGGCTGCAGGCAGATGGGGCACAGAGATGCTGCAGGGGAAGGAGGGGGCCCCTGACACTATTTTTCCTTGCAATCCCCGGTCTAGCAATGAACACGGAGCCGTGCATTGGCGTTGCTGGCTGTGAGTGGGTCGGCTTGCCGGCAGGCTTAGCCTGAGCCCGGCTGTTATGACTAATAATAATAATGATGTTTGTCATGCTAATTACTACTGCGAAGCTGCTTCAGGCATGGCCAGCCTGGAGCCGGGGACCTGCAGGGATGCCTGGCTTGCAGTGTTTGACGCCAGTGGGTCTCACTTAGGGCGTTGTGCACCAGCACAGAGGCAGTCGGTGGCAGCCAAGGTGTAGCACGACTGCAGGAGCACTGGGGGATGGGGCTGAAGCTGCAGCACCTTCCTCCGGTGTGGCTTTTGTGGGGAAGCTGGGAGCTGCAGGGGTTACAGTAGGGATGGGGACCAGCCTGGATTGGGCAGGAGGCAGAGGGGAAAGGGAGGGTGGACAACTGAGTCTGGAGGCTGCTGTGGCTGGTGACGGCCAGACCAGCCTGCTGCTCCTGGCACAGGACAACTCGGTGGCTCCAAAGGAAAATTGTTTTTCTTGGTCATGCTCATGAGCTCTGGTTTCAAGGCAGGCTGGGAGCGAGAGCATTGGATGCTGCAGTGGAAATAGCTGGAGCTGCTCTTGGGTCTGCTGCTGGGGATGGCTGGCAGAAGTGGGCTGCACGGGGCTGGGACCGCTGGGCAGCATCAGTCCCGTGTGAGTCAGCGCAGGCTGGGCAGAGTCACCCGCTCTATTTTTAGGGGCTGAGGATGAGCAGGGAGCACAACGTGTGCTGTGTGGCATCCCGGGCGGGGAGGGACGCTGACTCAGAGCAGGATGAAGGGGTTGTGTCACGAGAAGGGGCCATGGTCCTGTGTGCTCTGGTCCCCTCAAGGAAAGGGGTGGGCACAACCCCCGTCCTTCTGCCCTGGCTGGGCCCTTCAGCATCCCTGGGAGCAGCCTAAAGGCCCAGATGAGGCAGATGTGTTTTCGAACAACATATGGGGGAAGAGGGACAGGGAGGGAAAGGTGCGACTAGAGGAGCTTAGCTCAAGCACCTTCACTGGTTGAAACGGGGAGAGCCAGAAGGGCATAGCCCCCTTCCCATGTGAGCTGTGAGCTCATCCATTTCCCCTTCTGTTGCAGAGCCCAGGAGCTATGTGGAGTCAGTGGCCCGCACAGCTACGACAGGCAGAGGAGGGACCCTGCCTGCTGCCCAGTCTGGGGCCCCAGAGGTGCCCACCAGGAATGGTACCTTCAACAACTCCTTCACCGCCTCGAGCCCTGTCTCCACCAGCAGCCCCATTCACAGTGTGGACGGGTAAGGCAGTGGGTGCAAGTCTCAGAGGCTGGTGAGGCTGGGGCTGAACCCTGCCTGGTGCACAGGCTTACTCCCATGTTGAATTTGCCTTTGCAAGTATCCCCATCTTCCCATGCAAGATTTGGGGGTCCTGACCAACCATGGGGCTCACTGCCCTGACGACGACTCAAAGCTGGGTCACTGGTGGTCACTTGGTAGTCACTGGACCTCAGCAGCATCTTGCTGGGAACCCAAGTGTAGGGGTAGACATGGGGTCTGTGCTAACCCCCAGCCTGGGTTTAGGCTGAGCACTGGTCCCCTGTCATGCGATACAGTCATCATCTCTGTCCCCTCTCCACCCTGGCCATGGGGTGCCCTGCAGCTGCTCAGCCTGACAAGGCTGGCAAGGAGGAATGAACCAGGCTTTTGCTGGGAAGAGGCTATCTCTCCCAGAAAGCCGTATTTTGAGAGAGATTTTAGGTGTGCAAGGGCACTAAAGCTGCCTCCAGTTGCTTTCACGCAGCTGGCAATACCTGTCCCACTGTTGCCTCTGAACAACCGAGCAGCTTGCTGGTGCTGTGCCTTACTTTCCCTGTGCACTGCTCACAGGAGGGTACCAGCCAGCAGCAGGAAGGAGCAATGGAACTGAATCCTCCTTTTCCTCATCTCTCCTCAGGGCCTCCCTCCGCAGCTACCCATCGGAGGGCAGCCCCCACGGCACGGTTACGCCTCCCCATGCCTCGACAGAGCCTGTTTACCGGTCACCTGTGGGCTCACAGGTGCCCTCTGCTCACAGCAGCTACCAAAACTCGTCTCCATCTTCCTTTGCAATGGTCCAAGGAGGGGTCCCGGGCTTGGCATATGCCAGCCCTGACTATCCTGATGTCCGAGCTGGCCTCCAGCCAGACCCCCAAGCTCGGCCACAGCCACAGGTCAATGTGGTGGGGGTCCACGTCCTGCCAGGGAGTCCCCGCACCCTGCACCGGACAGTGGCTACCAACACACCACCCAGCCCTGGGTTTGGACGAAGAGCCATCAACCCCAGCGTGAGCGGTGCTTCTGGCAGCCCCGGGCTGGGCAGACATGCCATGGCAACCCATGGCAACCTGGTGGCCCCACCAGGGAGCCCCAGCCTGGCCAGGCATCAAGTGGCGGCGGCCGTCACCCCTGGCAGCCCCCTGTATGGCTACTCCGGCCCGGAGGAGCGGCACCAGACGCTGTCTCGGCAGAGCAGCTCCTCTGGCTACCAACCTCCCTCCACGCCGTCCTTCCCCGTCTCGCCAGCGTACTACCCTGGCATGAGCACGCCGCACTCCTCCTCCCCGGACTCGGCTGCCTACCGCCAGGGCAGCCCTACACCGCAGCCTGCACTGCCTGAGAAGCGGCGGATGTCGGCCGGGGACCGCTCCAACAGCCTGCCCAACTATGCCACCATCAACGGCAAGGTGTCCTCACCTCTCTCCAGTGGCATGTCCAGCCCCAGCGGTGGGAGCACTGTCGCCTTCTCCCACACCCTGCCGGACTTCTCCAAGTTCTCCATGCCAGGTAAGGGATGCTGTTGGAGGTCCCTGTGTCCCTCTGCCCTGTCCAGGGCTCTCCCTTCCTCCTCCTCACTGGCCAATGGGGAAGAGATTGCAGCTGTGTCCTGATTTACCCCTCCTGCCCATCCGCAAACCAGCGGCACCGCTGGGGCTTGAGCCATTTCCTGCACTTTCTGACAAATCCAAACAGGAAAAGCACTGACCCAACATAGCTGGTGTAAACAGCGCCCAGAGTTGTATATCGGGAGATCAAAGCACCCAGAGGCAGCTTTTCTCTGCCGTGGGGATGCGCTGACCTTCCGGCTCTGTTCCCGGCGGGCTTTACCCTGCTGAGATCCTGCTATGGTGCTGCCTTCTCGTTTCAAATGTTGTGCCGTGCCCTGGGTGCCGCCGCACCTGGAGCGTCTTCGCTGGCTCCCGTTACTGGACACCTCAGTGACGCCAAGATTGGGCCGATAGGTCCAGGGAAATAAAGCTATGAGGCAGCAGTGGCTCTGGCTGCTGGGCAGGTTTCGCTGCCCAACGGGCAGCCCTTTGTGGGCACGCTGGCGCCTGCCTCGGTGTGGCTGGGGACACTTCCCATCTGGGAAACACAAGCAATTAAAGACTGTAACAACTAGCAAACAGACTGGGGAGGGGAGCGAGCCCCCACATCTCTCTGAAGGTGACCAGATTGCATGATAACGCATCTCCAGCAGTGATGCTATCTGACCTGCTGGGTCCTTTGTTCTGGTTTTTTTTTGAAAACTTGCCTGAGCAAGTGGTGGCTTCACAGCCAGGGGACTGGCTCCACTGGGGCAGTGCTGCTGATGGGCACCAAGAGAGGCAGGGCAGGGCTGGGGCTGGGGCTGCATTTCCGATGGTACTTCGACCTGTCCAGTTCCTCTGCGCAGAGCAAAGCTAAGGAACTTATTTTTATGATGGATGAGCCAAATTTTGAACATTAGAGAGCAATGAAGGTCCTCGGAAGTAAGCGGGTCTCCCGACCACCCTCTGGACATATCTCTTTCCTCTAACACCTTTCATTTCACCTGGCCAGCTCCCTTTTAAATGATGAATTCTCATTTTGTCTCTGGCTGTGTGGCAAAGAGACTCATCTGACACACAGCCCTTTGAGGGCCCTTGCACTTGGGTTTAGCCCAGCAGCCCCATAAACTTCAGGAGATGATCGGCCTGCCTGGGTATGGAGGATTGGGTTGAGGTTAAAGCAATGTGATGGGGCTGAAAGGAGGTGGAGGTATTTAGCCAGATGAAAGTTTTTGATAGGGCATCTCTGAACTTTTTTCTTGTCTTCTCTTCCCTACCTTGCAGACTTCAGCCCTGAGACTCGTGCCAACGTCAAGTTTGTGCAGGACACTTCCAAGTACTGGTACAAACCAGATATCTCCAGGGAGCAGGGTGAGCAGATGGCACAGGGCGAAGGATGCGGTTGAGCGAGCTATGTTCGGGAGTTGGGGTGTATCTGGGATCACAGGGGACAGTGAGGATTTCCCTGAGGGCCTGAGTTAGGAGTGAAGGTGGGTTGTGGATGCTCAGATCATGACAGAGGACCCAGCATTTGGCCCCTGATCCCTGCCTGCTCTCCAGAGCTCGATTGCTCAGAGCTGAGCTGAGTGGGAATGGATACTCTGAGATACCTGGGCAAGGGCAGGGGAGTGGGGTAGATGAGCCCCTGCCTGGTCACAGACCCACTCAAGACCCTCATCAAGATGTGCAGGGGAAATGGTAACATTGTGGTGCCCAGCTGCGAGGCCGTGTAGCCCGAGTGTCCTGTCATGACCCGCAGCTGCAGGTTTCGGAGGACACATCGGCTCTCACTGTGCCAGCTCTGAGGTTTGCTGTTCTCTCCTGCAGCCATTGCACTGCTGAAGAACAGAGAGCCGGGGGCTTTCATCATCCGGGACAGCCACTCCTTCCGGGGAGCCTACGGCCTCGCCATGAAAGTAGCTTCTCCGCCTCCCACAGTCATGCAGCAGAACAAGAAAGGTATTGTGTGCCCTTCTCCATCCCACGCCAAGATACTTTCCATCGTTCAGCCAAGGCGAGCGGGCAGCTGAGTCTGCTGAGCCAGTCATGCCCTTGGGTATGTGCTGATGTAGCAGAATCCCTCCCTCCTGGCCCTCCCTCCTAGGGCACAGGGAAGCACCAGACATCCTCTGTCCTGAGCTGCAGAGGGCTCAGGGGCATCTGCATCCTGGGCTTTGGCATGGTGAACCAGGCATAACCCTCCTAGCCCACCAATGCCATGGAGGAGCCTGGTTTGAGGTTGACCCTGACCAGAGGGCCGTATCTGAGGAGGGTCTGTGGAGTGGCAGGGACCCTTCCCTCAAGTCTGAGCACTGGTTTACCTGTGGGACTGCAGAGTTGGGGGAAGAGGAGGAGGAGGGTGGCTCTGGTGTGAGAACATCCCATCTCTTCCCAGGAGACATGACCAACGAGCTGGTGAGGCATTTCCTCATTGAGACCAGCCCGCGGGGTGTGAAACTAAAAGGATGCCCCAACGAGCCCAATTTTGGTGAGTGCCCCCAGCATGTTTCCCACGTGTGAGGTTGGGTTGGGAAAGCCTTGCCTTTGCTGAACTATCAGAGCAGAGCAGTTAGGTGCCTGGGAGAGCCCACACCTCTCTTACTGCCTCTACCAGGTCCTGTGGGCATTTGGATCCTCTGGGGTCATGCACACTCATAATTGCACACAAGTGAGCCCATATGCAGAGGTGCATACCTTCCTGCACACATGTGTAGGACAAATGATGCTGCTGGGCAGGGTGGAGGGCAGGGGCTCCCCTTGTTCCAGTTATCCCATGACTAATGTGTTTCAAGGCACTGCTCGAGGACCTCTGCCCCATTTGTTGTTCTTAAGGTGGCCCTGGTATCTCTGCCCCCTTCCAGAGCCCTCCATGGGCATGGTGGTTCCAGCAAGAGGAAGTGCCATGTGTGGCATTAGGACCACAGTGAAGAAACACACCAAAAAGCCTGTTCGCATCCACCTGAAGCAACAATGACCTAACACCAGGAAACCTGTGTCCCCAGCCCTGCACTGACCATCTCCCCTTTCTCCTCAGGCTGTCTCTCAGCTCTGGTGTACCAGCACTCCATCATGCCCTTGGCCCTGCCTTGCAAGCTGGTCATTCCTGACCGAGGTAAGAGCCAGGACCAGAAGAGGCTGCATCCTTCCTGCAGGGACGGGTTAGGTTTCTAAGCAGGGAGCAGCACTAACCGCCCCCTGTCTTCTAGATCCCATGGAGGACAAGGACACTGCATCAGCCACCAACTCGGCCACAGACCTCCTCAAACAGGGTGCAGGTGCGTAGAGAGGGGCTGTCGTGGGGTGAATGTAGCTCAGAGCAGTGGTTGACCCTACACCTGCTGTCTCCCTTTCCAGCCTGCAACGTCCTCTTCATCAATTCAGTGGAGATGGAGTCACTGACGGGCCCCCAGGCCATCGCAAAGGCTGTTGCAGAGACACTGGTGGCTGACCCCACGCCCACCGCTACCATTGTCCACTTCAAAGTCTCTGCACAAGGCATCACCTTAACCGACAACCAGAGGAAGTAAGAGCCCTCACGGCAACGTCTCTGGGTCCCCAGAGCCAACGGGGCTGTGATCCAGGGAGTGTGTTGATGAAGGATCACAGAATCACAGAACGTTAGGGATTGGAAGGGACCTCAAAAGATCATCTAGTCCAATCCCCCAGTCCCTGGGGTGGCAAGAACCTGGTCTTGGGCAGGGCTGGGCTTTGTCCATGACTACTGGAGCATCCTAGGGGAGACCTATGGGAGTGTCCCCTACGGTGGTGGGGCTGGGCTATGGTGAGAGCTCCCTGGCTTTGACGCTCCCTGCTTTGTGTTACAGATTGTTCTTCCGACGACACTACCCCCTCAACACTGTCACCTTCTGCGACCTGGACCCCCAGGAACGAAAGTGAGTAACCTAACCTGGGAGGAGCACATGTGCCCTGCTCCTTTCCCTGCTCCAGGCTCCTGGGCTGCTTGAAGCAGTGTGTTCACTTGCTCTGTCCCTCTTGCTACTGCGGAGGGCAGAGATGAAAGATCCCCTTGGATACTGTGGGGCAACACCAGCTTCTCCTGGTGACTTCTTGGTGTCTCCAAGCATCTTCATGATGGTGGAGAGGTGCATCAGTGTTCTTTCCATAGAGCCAAGCCTGTGCAAAGCCAGGCTGGCTCTCCAGAGTTGGTGTGATGGCCCCCATCACAGCCCTGTCTCTGTGGGGTGCAGGAGGCACCATCCCTCAGACCTTCTCTTCTCTTTGCAGGTGGACTAAAACTGATGGCAGTGGCCCAGCCAAGTAAGTACTTTCTGTGCTTCCCGGTCGATTCTTCCCAGCTGCTGTTGGGTGGCTCCCACTTGTGTTTGAGCATTGGCTGGGAGATGCCCCATGCAGGTCAGCCTCTTGGCCATGCATGAGATGGGCTCAACTTCTTGCTGTAGGAGCGTTTCACCCAAGCGTGAGGCCATGGTTCTGGGGACTCAGGAAGCAACTTTTAGTCCCAGATTCCTGTTCAGAGCAGGCACAGCCCTTGCAGAACTGGCCTTACTGGAAACTCTTCCACTGGAGTCAGTGGGAGTCGATTCATGGAGCAGAGATGGGGGTTATGCTGCCCACCCGTGAGCCACCAGCTGGATCTTCCCTTTCCTCCTGTTCTTCCTGTCCTGACCCGCAGGAGCACAGAGCTGCTGGCTGAGCCTGTTTCCAGGGGCCAATTCCCACTAATTTTAGCCATTGTGTTAGCAAAGGGGTTTTTATTAGAATGTCCAGCTGCTGGGATATTTCCCCTCCCCAATTAGAAGTGCCACAGCCTGGGCCTGTCTCACATTCTGTTCCCCTGTATTTATAACTTGAGTTTGCATGTTCTAATTAAAAAAAAAAGCAAGAAAAAAAAAGAGGACATTTTATTCATCAAGGGAGAGACAGACAGGAATAACTGTATGGTCTCACCCAGCTCCCTGTGTCCCCACACGGCCTTCCCAGTGTTATGGGATCACTTACAGGGGGTCTATCCCAATGGCCAGCCCAGCCCATCACACCTCTGTGATTTCAAGGGTCAGTGCCCAAACCAAGTCAATGCTGTGATCACCTGGAAGGTCCCTTCTTGGGGATGGCAGGGATAGCCAGAGCAAGGACAGTTTGGCCAAGACATGATGGAAATGTAGTAGGTAGCTCTTCATGCGGACTGGTTTGGGATGATTCTGCGCTGCGCAGGGTGGATGTTAAAGAGGGGAAGGTGGGCCAGACCATGCTGGAAGGGGTGATGGTGTTCCTTGGGTGAGCAATGCTGGCAAACCTCACTGAGCTTCTTGCCTTTTCCCCACCCCAGGCTCTTCGGCTTTGTGGCCAGGAAGCAAGGGAGCACCACAGACAACATCTGCCACCTCTTTGCTGAGCTGGACCCAGACCAGCCAGCTGCAGCCATTGTCAACTTTGTCTCCAGGGTCATGCTTGGCTCCGGCCAGAAAAGATGAGCTGGTGCTTGCGGGTAATTCTTGAATTTTGGAGAAGGACTTGGACCTGATCCGAGAAGGAGTGTGAGGAAGTGCATTGTGGGAGAGGGAAGTGAATCGGGGAGGGGGAAGGGTTGGAATTTTGGAGGAAAACGGCAAACAACACAAAAAACCCCAATGAAACCCCTAAAGACTCAACACAAGCCAAATATACACACAGAAGAATCAAACCCACGCACCTACATAAGAGAGCCACAAAGCCACGCCAGACAGGATGCATGTCCCAGCGCAGGGAAGGTGACCAAAGTGAGAGGTGTGCTCCCAGCTTTCGGCATCATGGTCCTGAGCAGTGACATCCACTTGGGACTGAATGCAGAACCGTGACTGGTGTTTTCCATCTGGACAAAAACATAGACAACTGCCAAAACCGATGGAAGAAGCTCCATCCCAGCAGTTCCCTCGGTGAAGGTCTGCTGCATGTTTGAAACAACCTGTAGGAGATAACTTATGCAGAACATCAGAGGAGATGCCCTTGGAAACCTTCCCTCGCCTGGCTGCAGAGGGGGGACCTCACTGGACCCTGTGTTTCTCCCAAAACCTGCCGGCTGCCTGGCGGCTTGCTGGGGCATGGAGGAGCTTGGTCCCAAGCCCTCCCATCCACAGGGAGCTCAGTCGTGGGCTCACCTCCATTGCTGACCCAGAGCCCAGCACCAGTCACAGGTGAGCTGCTGTGGGTCCACCCGGAGAGGGAGGTCATGACATTTCCCTGCCTCCCTGGGGGTGCTCGTGTCCCCCAGCCTGTGAGGAGAGGTGTGGGGGACTCCTGCCACCCCGTGCCTGAGGAAGGCAGATGCTTCCCGGGAACCCACTGGGAGGATGCAGAAAGTCGCCTCCTCTCCTGTCTTCCCCTTTTCCCTCCCGTCACTAGGCCTCTTTGGCAGTTTTCTCCTGCGGCCTGTCACACGTTCTCTTAACACAAAAAAACCCAAAACAGAAAGGAAAGATAAACACTGTAATAATAATAATAATTATAATAATAGCGGATGCTGGCACAGGTGGGTTCCCTGTGCGAAGCAACAGACCCGTGGCTACCCCTGTCTCGCTCTTCGGAGACGCGCAAGCGGTTTTTAAATTGCATGGACGTTCAAGTTGCACGAAAGGCGAATGACTACAAGTAACTCAGGCGCTTTTTTTCTCCGTTTATTTTGGAGGCCACGTTAAAAAAAAAAGAATAAGAAGGAAGAAAATTTAAAAGAAAAAAAAAAGAAAAAGGAAAGGACCTGCAGTCGCTGGGCAACTTTGGCTCAGTGGGGAGGTCCTCCGAGAGCCACCCTGCTTGGCATGCACGTACCCCCAAAACCGACTGGCTGGAGGCTTGTGCCCCTGAATGCACCATCGTTTTGCAGTGACTTCGGTGCCATTGGCTTTTCCCTTTGTTTTGGGAGATGAGGCGCACCAGCTGAGGGGTGAGAGAGGCGAAGAGCCTGTGTGCCAGTGTTAGGGGGGGATCATGGTTGAGGGGCAGAGGATACTTCGGTCACAGATGCAGGTTTGGGGCAGGGGTAATGGTCTGGCTGGAGCCATGGGGTCATTTCTGAGCCCTCTGCTTCAAACATCCCCTCCCCCCTGAGAGTTTTTTGGGAGAAGTTTTCAGTGCACAGTGGCCCAGATAATCTACTGGGGGCAAAAGTTAGAAACATAGCACTGTAGCCCCCCCTGAAGAGCTTGTCTCCCTCAAACTGCCCTTGCCTTGATAGCTATAGTATATATATGAGCTATACCGACAAAATACTGTAAGCTAACGAAATTTCAAGGAGGAAAAAAAGTTAAATTAACACTCTGAAAATATTTATTTTTGCCATATTGCTTTCTGCACATCATATCTCCCCCATTATATCTGCCCCTCCCCTTCCCCAGCCCCAGGGAAACACCTGCATGTTAAAAGAAAATCCAGAGCAAGGCAAAATACAGATGGGGGAAGAGGCGCGGGGGCCCCCTGTGTCGGGGTGGCGTGCGTGTGAGCAGCGTGCATGTGTGTGTGCGTGTGTGTGAGCGTGTGTGTGTGTGGGGGAGTGAGTGGCGTGGGTGCCCAGAGGGGGCCAGAGGCTGTGCTGATGTTCTGAGCGAGCGTGAAAGGATGCGTAGCAGGGAGTTGGTTGTGAGACGGCGGTGGGATGGGGGCCTCTGGGGGGGCTTTCCCCCTCCCTGGCTCCCCGGCCGCACAGATGCGGAGACCTTTTCATTTTTGATGCTTCCAAAAAGCGGTTCCCTCCTTCTGCGAAATTCAAGCGAGATGAGAGACCATCTCACCCGTAATCTCCTCACCCTGCCGTTCACCAATTAAAGAGAACACTGTGTTTATAGATATATAAAGATATATTTTTGAAAGCCTCTATTTTTCAGACTTGGTTTTCTCACTGCTAAGGAAAGAGATGATAATAATGTAATTTTATTTTAATCTGCTGCCTCGGAAACGGGTGCTTGAAGCTCCCATTCCTCTTTTTCTCCCCGTACAAACGAAGCAGATCTTAGCACCCCGGAGATGTCGTGTAGAAGCTGACCCCAGCAGATACCGCCGATAGCATCATGCCTGCTTCGGGCCCTGAGCTGCTTCCCCACTAACCCACTAGCTGAAGAGTTAGACCATATCCAAATCTCGAACACTAACAAAATCGTCAGATGATTGTATTATTTTTCTTAACACAGAGCTAATCACCTTCTAATGATGTACCTGGGTGTTTGTCAGCTCCCTTTAAAGGCAGTTTTTTGTTTTGTTTGTTTTATCTTGTTTTTAAAGTTACATTTTTAGGTGTAACTGCCCTTTCTGTCCCCGGGAGAGACCATCAGCCGGCGTTGAGGATCACACAGGTCTCGGGGCTGGCGGGGACAGAGTGTTGATATTTTTGATACATGAAAGGGACAGAAAAGACTCTTTGGTTTTTTTCTTTGTTTTTTTAAATGCAGTCATGGTATTTGAGATCCGAGCTTGCGCGAGTTAAGCCCAGCATATGTTTCGTTGTAATCACACTGCCGTTGTCAGCAGCCGGATGGTATCTCTCTCCCTCTCTCACACAAACACACACACAGACACATCCCTCTTTCCTGCACAAAGAACTGCATATATTCTTGCCAAAGATATCTTTAAGAACGCACTTTCCCCCACATATATATATATTTTTTTGTGTGTGTGTGTAAATTTGTTGTACGTGCCCTTTTTGTGTTGATTTGTTCTTCGGCAAAGCCCTTTCCCACCCGTCCTCCTTTTGCTGTCGATGTTGCTGTCTGTTGGGAAATGGTCCCCGCAGGGGTGTCATTTGCTGCCTGTCCCAAATGGTAGCACCTGCAATGTGCGAAATGGGGGGTTCCCATTCAACAGGGCTGCCTCCAGCTCTGCTCTCCCTCCAGGAGGTGTTTTGGGGGATGATCTGTGTCATCATCTGCTGATGGGATGCACCCATGTCATGGTCTTTGCCAGCCCCTGTTGCCAGTGGCGGTGGGGGCTCCTGGGTTTAAGCAGATAAACCGAACAAAGTTTGGGGTTGCTCTGGATGCAACATTTGCTGGCTGGTCCTTGGTCAAACCACACGTGGAAAACAAACCAGGTATGAAGAAAAACCCAACCCAGCCTTCGGGCATCGATTTTCCAGTGAGTTCAACCGCCTGAACCGAAGTGCAAAATAAATCCCCACCCAGCAGGTCAGGCGGGTAAAGAAACCAGTTGCCCCAAAAACCCCAGACGGCAGCAGCAACAAAAGGCAACCCTTCCCGTTGGAGCAGGCAGGAGGATCAGACAGCAAAGGAGCCCGCAGGGGCTTGTTTCATTTCATTCGTTTGTTTTGCAAATTGTGAGGTTGGTTTGGGGTTACTAATTTTTTTTTTCCTTAAAAAGGAGGAAAAAAAAAAAAAGGAAAAAAGGAAGCAACCCCACATTTCTGTTGGCGGATCCTGTGCCGCTGTGTTATGCATGGGGTTTTTTGTTGTTGTTGTTGTTGTCGTCTTTGTTGTTTTGGGAATGTTACAGATTTATTTGCTAATCAGTGTTAATGAACAGTTTCAAACTTTTAGACTCGCCCATTTCTGTGTATTTATATAGATGGAAAAAAATACGTTATATTTTGTATCTTTGTGCCCATAATGTTGTCGCGTGTGTAAGGATGACCTCGGTCGCACCATGTCCATGTGTGAATGTGACTCCGCTGTTGTCTTCCCATTGTACAGATGTCAGATTCTTTGCAGTTCATTGTATGGCTTTATAAAGTGGTAAAAACAAAAAAATAATCAGTTATATAAAATATACTGTTGCTTGAAATGCCAGCTTGGTGTCTGGATCGCTGGAAATGTATCTTGAAATTTAAGGGAGCGCAGGAATAAATGCTCTGTTCTTTTTTGCACAGGGAAAAAAAAACCCCAAACTACAACCCACCGGGTGCTGTGTTTTCTCCGGCCTGTCGCTCCCCCGTTCCTCGATGGCAGACGGGGGCCCCAGGACAGATGCGGGGCGGTGGGTGTGGGAAGAAGGAGGGGTTGTGCTGCTGCTTGTCAGCTTCCAGCCGCAGCTTGTGTTCACCAGATGCTGGCTAACCAGACAGCCCCAGAACTTCCTGCACGGCTTGAGCTCCACCTTGGGCTTTAGTTTACCAGGAAGGATCTCTCTGGCTTGCTCTGCAGGCATTGAGTGCTCTTCAAATCCTGCTGCTCTCTCCCAGGTTTCCTTTAGGTGCCATCTGTCCAGCCCCAGGCATCCCCTTTGAGTCTATCTCCTGCAGTGGAGTTGGAAGGGATGATGCCAGTACAGGGTCTTTCACCTTTGCAAAGGTCTGCTCCCATTAAATCCCACTCTGTGCCCCTTTTGGAGCCATCCTGCTCCCCTGTGCCTGGCAAAACTTCCCCCAAAGTCCCAGGCCTGGCTTTTCCAGCTCTCACAGAGCGATTCCCAGCATCTGTCAGTACTCAGCCCTTGGCTCTCTGGCTCCGCTCCTTCCCCTCCTCGCTGAGTTGGTGGCCAGGACCCGGCCCCCAGGATGGATTGAGTTTAATTATACAAGAAATATCAGCCAGAGCAGCGGCAGTTTCTCTGGCGCCAGCGCTGCTGCGGCTCCGAGGCTCAGAGCTTCTCCTGGGAGCCGGCAGCACTAAAAATACCTCCTGCCTTTCTCTAAAATAGCTGCAGGGCGAGGGGCAAATTGAGGGGGGGATGCTTGCACG